AATTTTGAGACTTTTGTCATTTCTCTATCAATTCACATCCAATACAAATGCATGCAATTTACAATCCATGCGTAAAAATACTGTACATTTAATTCCATCTCACTTCGCGATAACACACTTAGTTCCACGATAAATCAATTTTTATCACAAGTTTCTATATCATTCAATTTGTATCGTAGCTGAAAATACAATATTTCTCCCTCCATTGTATAATAACAACATGTACCCAGACACACAATCAGCGAAGCCAGCAACATTCCGACCGAGGGGAAAGCTTAATTTATCTTCTCCAACAAGAATTACCGGCAGACTCTGTGCATCGCTTCCCAAACACTGGTAGAGAGCTCATTCCTGTCCCGTTTCGAGGGAAACCAGACGTAATGTTAATTAGATATTTTATCTCCATGCGAAATAACGAATACGTTGTTCCGCAGGGCAGCCGGATGTAAACCGTGTTTATGTTGGATATCACTCCGACGTTCCGCTAACGAGACAGCCCGTCCACCGCCGCGCAAAGCAACACAGTATTCTCAGGTGTTCGGTTATTATGCTCGTGATGTAGTTCATTGATCGTCCAACTTGTAATTGGTCAGTGGAAACACGGGCCAGCGACTTTGAACGTGCGAATTAGACGATCTTCGGAACACGGTTATCAACGTCAGGCTAATCACAGAAAGTGAATCGATTCCACAAGCGGGCATTACCTTCAAACCTTGTTTCTCATCAAATATTTCCCGTTTAGATGTTATTATAGTATTTTTGTTTTTGATGAAACTATACAGAGTTAATTATTTAAATCGATCCCCTCGAATATGTTCGAAATCACTGACGATACCAAAAAATGTTTTACATAAGGGAAAGATTTGTTTAGATAGGGAAAATAATTTGATGTGAGTTGATTTTTTTGTAGGTGGACGTGTAGAGGACATGTGAAAGTCAAATCTGTTTTTTTTTTAAGTGAAATAATTATATATGTTTTAATGCATTAATCGATGCAAGCTATTCAAGCTGATTAAGGGTATTATTGCCTACCAACAACTTTTAGAGTTGATAAAAATTTGTATGTATCAATAAGGTCGTTTAGATTCTTATGAACTTTTCGACCGCATCGCTATACATCTGGTTTTGCTGACTAATTCTTGTTGCGAATTCGTTTTGCAATGCTTTAGACTCCTTTGTGAGTACGAACACTAGCTCTTTCAAAAATTCTACGTCTAAACTTTTGTAAGTCTACGTGACACGTCAGCTTCTCCATACGTTTGCGACTTCTTTTGCTTACAACTCACGTTATATTTATTACATTAAACAAATAAATTACTCACTCTGTATAACGAGATTTAAACAAAATTCCAGGTAAACTATTGTTTTCTTAGCTGATCACTGACGCAAAATACACGCACATCGCTCCAATAAACTCAGGTGACTAAAAGTCCATGCACTACCGCGGTGCATAGTTATCATCGGACGTTCCCAATGACAATGGCTAAGCTATTTAATTTAAGTATATATTTCAACTGCTGAGTAAGTAAGAAGGATTATTAGGAACCTCGCACGGTTTTCTTCTGCAATTACCGTGCAAATACCGTTGCGTTGACACACAACTGTGATCAAAGTACTGATAACGATGTTTTTACAAGTCTACACTTTGTGGTCACAATATATTTATGTACACTGACGAGCAAACTCGGCTTCGGCTGGGACACAAACAGCATAGGTGAAGGGTCGCATACCACTTGGTAAATTTATATGAAGCACTAAAATAAATCATAAACCGAATGTTAATTTGGCATAAATTTCAGTAACTTCCAAAACTAAGTTGTAGGAGGCCCTTACTCTACGCCACTTTTACCCCTAGCAGAAGCCGAGTTTTCACATCAGTATAGATTCTGTCCGCGACTTACTGTTTGAAATCCAACATACCAAAAAAATTAACAATCTCCCCACAATTGTAGCAGGTTCTACTCATACGTCTCCCCAACTTGTAAAATCTTATACTCTTCCGAGAAAAGCGATTAAATTCGCGCAATTTCCCCGAAACAAAATCTCAAACCGAGAGCAGTTTCCCTCCAGCGTCAGACCTTATTTTTAGCCCAAGAAATCATTTCCCTTCCGATTTAGCCAAGAGCAACAATGCAGCAACGCAACGTGCACGCGTAAAACCGGAAACATCGTCTAATAATGGCAACGAAATCGACGGGGATTGACGTAACGAATCCGTTGCATCGATCACGGCTATCCCTCCTTCCTTGGTTACGATGTATCGAAGAGCTCCGGGACCCAATTCATAACGATATCAATCATTTAAGCGGAGCCACAAAGGCGAACAAGAGAGCGAGAGAGAGAGAGGGGGGGTATGGTTTCGATGGACGGAACAACAAAGCGGCGAAACCAGAGGCCCGGGCTCGGTAGTATCGAACTTCTATCCCCCTTCCCTTGGTCGATCGCCTAACAACAACTAAACTCAATTATCCGCAGGCCCCCTCCCGGCTATTCTAATAACTATAACTTTCTTGGAAGGGAGGGCCACTCGGGGCTAGATAAGACGTTGCCCTGGTCCAGGAGAAAGAAAGAGAGAGAGAGAGAGAGAGAGAGAGGGAGGGAGAGCCGCTGGTGAAATTCCGCGTCGGAATTCCGCGGTCGCTCGAATTAACCAATGAATCAGCCGGAAGCACCCGGACGAATCGTGAACCCGCGCTATAACGTGCACGTAAGTTTCACGTGCGACAGACCCCGTGTCATCCGGCGGATCCATTTAGAAACCGCGTACGACTACGTCTGCAGTCGTATTGGATTCGGAATGGGCCACTAGGATCGTCAGAAAGAGTGTTAACCCTTTCACGACTAGGAGAGACATTTGG